CAAGCTGCATTTGAAGGGGAAGGCTATTCTTTATTTGGATACTGAGATGTTTTGGGGATTGGCAGAGTCGCAGGAGTCCTATATTGAACTCAGCAAGCCTATCAGCAGCAAAACAAAAGTCCACATCCACAAAGGAGAACCCACGTGATACTCTTCAGGTCTATATCGTCTCAGGAACATAGAAGAAATGTGCTAGCTTCAGCCAGGAAAAGTTTCAATGGCGTCCAAATACGGCGGCACCAAAGGGCCCGGCCAGCAGTGGAGCTTTCTGAGGTGTATCCGAAATCAATGAGGTGCCACAGCCCTCCCCTTACTCTCTCTCCCCATTCTCCTCTTTCCTTATCAGCAGGGTTTGGACCAAATCCGAGGTCATCCGAACCCAGAAAGAAGTTGTCATTTCCGGCCCAATCAGCTGTGACCGAGGCATCCCCTGCCCTGCAGCTGCATGTAAGCAAAGGGGCGGGATGCTGATGACATCATTGAGCCATGTGGCCATATAAGGTCGATTATGTTAACAGCATCCAACCCCTTTGTGTATGTGCAGCAAATGCCCCGGCTGCAGCTGATTGGACTGGCACTCACAGCTTCCTTCCGGGTTCAGATGAGCTTGGGTTCGGTCCGAAATCAAATTTATCCCTACTCATTTATCAAAGCTGTACTCTGAGCAGAAATGTTATTATATGAGTATAAAGATGCTTCCGTACCCTTAAAGAATTTCTTCTTGTGAGAAGGCAAAGTCATCCGGGCAGTGAGAAAAACTACATTTTTTGATGCAGAAATTGGCCCTCGGATCCCTTAAGATCCCGTTTTCTCCCGTCCCAGCTGGCAGTGAATATAATACCTGGTACTGTATCATATGGAGGAGAATGTAACAGCGCTGGACCAATCACCAACTTCCTGGCTGGTATTTTACTGGTCTAAATGGGACTAGTTGCAAATATTAATAACGGAATAGAGACTGTAAGGCAAATAACTTTTTTTTTTAACCAAGAAAAGGCGACCCTACCATCAGCACAGTAAGGTACGGAGAGTTCATAGCCATGTGTAATGCCGCAGGGACAGGAGGTCTAAATCCATTAGCCAGCAGGTGGAGATCCCATTGTTCACACTTTTTAGCCTGGATGGGGTAATCGAGAGATCTCAAGCTGCGTATGGCCAGCTTAAGGCTAGGTTCCCACCTGCACGATCTGTGACCGCGCGGCAATTGTGCACGAAATTGCGCGGATTGCCGGGTGGTCACCAAGTCGCCCTCCACATATTTTCTAATGGCACCCCAGTCGCGCTGGGCGCATCGCACGGTTTCCCGCCGCAAATCCGCCTGTGCAATTGAACACAACCTCCACTACACTCCAGCAATAGAGTTACAATTCTCCCCTGCTAACATGAATAGGTTAAACCATGATCCATAGTACATAACATGTAGTTGTACTATGGATCATTTAAAGTCACCTGTCCCTTTAAGAAAAAGTATCGGTAATTGGTATCGCAAGTACATGAGGGGATGTACTTGTACTTGTACTTGGGCCTGAAAAAGTGGCATCGGGACATCCCTAATATATATATATATATCTTTACAAGGACTGTAGGTTGCAATTAATAGCGCTCAGCCCCCTTTGCGGCTCCCTCGCCTTGCAGATTTTCAGGATGAAGGTGAAGCCGTTTGATTTATTGCCCCTTTTATACAGAAGGCCGTCTGATCGTCGCTCTTTTCCAACGCGCTTGTACGCCTCTGCGAACACCAACAAGGTCATCTGAAGATTTTGTTTTCACCCTCGCTGCGCTTTAGATTGTAAGAGAACTACCAAGAATCGCTTTCTCTCACATCCTCCCGCCAGAGCGAGCGTCTTCCTAGAAGCATCGGCTAGATTTTTTTTCTCTTTTAATAGCACATTTCATAGAAAGTGAAAGAAGACTTTTTTTTTTTTTTGCTGCGTTTGTTTATTTTGTATTTCCTCTCCTGGAAAAAAGCAGCGAGTGTCGGTAATTGAACATAAAAATAGCTCTCGCTGCTCAACAGTGTAGCCTGGAGCCCCGCTTAATGCGGTGCTATGTTTTAAAGAGTGATATGTGGATTGTTTAAATAACTTTTTTTTTTAAACCCCTAGAAGTGTGGCTGCCCCTTGCACTGCAAGGGTTAACTGCACAATTAAAGCAGATGTACTCACCTGATCCTCGGTCCGGCGGCGGTCAGCCTCTCTTCCCCTCTGCTTCGGCTATGGAATTTTCCTTGGTGTCCGCACGTCTATTATTATTATTATACAGGATTTATATAGCACCAACAGTTTGCGCAGCGCTTTACAATATAAGGAAGACATTACTATCACAATACAAGACAAAATGGTGAGGAGGGCCCTGCCCCTGAGGGCTTACAGTCTAAAAGGGAGGGGCAAGTGATACATGAGGAGGTAGCTGTGTGGGAATGAATTGTTTGCGAACGTGATGGTTCAGTGGTTAGGTTGCAATAGCAAGTCAGTGGACCTCCATTAGATGTGATGATGTCATCAGTCCTTGGACCAGTGTTAGCAGTGGGCTGGCTCTTGGGAGGAGCTATGCAAATATTATTATTATTATTATACAGGATTTACATAGTGCCAACAGTTTGCACAGCGCTCTACAATATAAGGAAGACATTACAATCACAATACAATTCAAGACAAGATGGTAAGGAGGGCCCTGCCCCTGAGGGCTTACAATCTAAAAATATCAAAACGCCTTAATGGGTGGGTGTCATTCTGAAGGACTGAGTATATCTAGGCAGGCTGCATTGACATATAGATTGCCCTAGTAACGTCCACATGTGATGCTGAGGCGCCATGATTGAAAGAGCCGAAATCTAATAAATAAAAGGGGCGGGTTCAGGTACAGTCAGGCTGCAGAAGAAAGAGCTAGATGATGCTGAATGTCCGGCAGCCAGGAAATGAGGCGGGCTCTATCTGATTTGCTGCAGCTTCTAATGCACATTGTGAGAAGCTCACAGTGTGCAGTGAAATCAGAGGAAGGCATTTCAGTCCGGTACAACTGTGCAGGACTGACGGGTAAGGTCAGAGTTCAGATTTAAGTTACAACATTTGTTTTTTCCTCTTATGTAACTACTTTGGCAATGCCAGTAAATCAGCCATGTGTCTGCTGAGAGCCAGTCGCAGGCACCGAGAAAACTTTTGTATGTATTCTTATCTGCCGACATGAAAGATTGCCGGCAAATATTTGTTTGGTTCCCATGGTGAGCGGGAGGGGACTGTGAACTGGCTTTGTTAGAGCCATAGTGCTTTGGACTTTGTCAAGGGGACATCCGGGGACAAAGCTCTGGGATCCTTCTACATACCTTCATTTAATAAATATATTCATACATAGGACTTTCAGAGTGCACAGCAAACCAGCTCACCTTCAAACTCACTCTGTAGTCGTCACTAGCAGTTCATATCTCGGGTTGGCTTATTTTATGTCTGGGGGATTTCCCCGCCACAATTCACAGTTCTGTCCAACATTGTGGTCATTGTAATTCCAATTCATAGTACGGAACCTCTTCAGGGTGGCATGAACAGAATATTGGGATGTCAATTTGTGACACAGTGACTCCTTCTTTATTGCCTTATGGAGAAAACAAGATACGGTTTAATTGATGTTGTCTGCCCAAAACTGGGATATTATTTTAGGTGGAGCTGACCTTTAGTCATTCCACTAATTATCAAAATTCCAGAGTGAATTCACTGGTTTCTAATATGTCCTACCTGAGCTGAAGACTCGCCTACTGCCTGCCATTACAAGAAGGGTGCAGGAGGGGAAAGAGGAGGACCCTGAGCTGCAGGAGGGGAGAGAGGAGGAGCCTGAGCTGCAGGAGGGAAGAGAGGAGGTGCCTGAGCTGCAGGTGCTTCCACAGGTGATTACAAGTGGCTGGGGGGAGGGCATAGAGGAGGAGCCTGAGCTGCAGATTCCACCTACATTTGGCTGGAGGGAGGACATAGAGGAGGAGCCTGAGCTGCAGACTCCACCTCCTACCTGTGCTCACAAGGTGGTTAACGGGAGGGAAGAGAGGAGGAACCTGAGCTGCAAACTCCACCTACCTGTGCTCACAAGGTGTCTAGAGGGAGGGTAGAGAGGAGGAGCTATATCTTTAGACTCCACCTCCTGTATGTACTCCCAGGAATGGGGTAAAAGGGTTGCAGGGTGCTCTCAGGGAAAACGGTGAAACCAGTGAACACAGCAGATCACATTTTCACAGGCCCAGATTTAGGGACATTAATTACATAATAAGCATTTTGAACTACAGAGATTAGGGCCCCATGCACAAGGGAATTAAAATACATACATCCAGGTATGTTTTGGAGCTCATTTCTGAACGCAGCTGGAAACAGGAAATGCTTTGCTATGGTCAAATGGACATCTAGACATTCAGTGGCATCTTGGTGCATTCAGACTAGGCTTTGTTTACACAGCGCTGGGGGGTCCTTGGTTTGAATCCCGGCCATATCACTATCTGCGAGGAGTTTGCATGTTCTCCCTGTGCTTGCATGGGTTTCCTCCTACACTCCAAAGACATGCTGGTAGGTTAATTGGCTTCTGTCTAAATTGGCCCTCGTATGTATGCATGTGAGATTGGGACCTTAGATTATAAACTCCTTGAGGGCAGGGACTGATGTGAATGTGAACTATGTGAAGCGGTGCGTAAATTGTTGGCGCTATAAATACCTGTAATAATGTAAATCTAGGAACATCTAAATGCATTACAAAGTGATCCGGGAGGCATGAAAGTTGTTGTACTCACCAGATGCCTTCTATGGTGTTTCATGCATGAGGCCTTGACTTACAGGACGGCATGAATGACAGGAAGAAAACTAGAGATACAGCTCGCTGTTTTCTTAGAATCAGTGTAATTGCAGACTTTCTTCTTATGATGTTTACATGTATTTGCCACAAAGACTTTTCTTTTTAAAACAGGAAGTTCTGTCATGTATTCCAACTGCAGGTATTGCCATATCTAACCCTGAACTTTTATATTCCAGGTGGTCACGTTGTGGTACAGAGCACCGGAGGTTCTGCTGCAGTCCAGTTACGCCACGCCGGTGGATCTCTGGAGCGTCGGCTGTATATTTGCAGAAATGTTCCGCCGAAAGTAAGACACATATTGGTTTTTATTCATTTATGTGTGTATGTGTGGGGGTGGGTCCTTAAAGGAGAACTATGAGGTGAGTGCTTTTCACTCACCTCATAGTTCTAGCCGACCTGTGACAATGAGACTGTCACAGGTCGGCTCAGTAGATCGGGAGGTGAGCGAACACATACCGGCGTTCGCTCACCTCTCGATCCTGTCACGGCTCTCTGCCGTGACAGGGGAGGGGCTGGATTCCCCTCTCCCCGCTCCGATCTGCCAGCGCTGACTGGCGGAACGGACGGGGGAGGGGGCGGGTACAGCTGGCTCTGCCTCTAGATAGGCAGAGCCAGCTGTCACTCACACAGCTGGGCGGATCCCGTCTTCTAAGTCGTGATCCGCACCGGCTGCGGAGTCTCAGTATACCGCGAGCTGTAGCTCGCGGTATACTGAGCTTAGGGTAACGGGAGGACGCTAGTTTGTGTCCTCCCGTTACCCTAAGGAGAACTATGGAGAAAAACACTGACCCCATAGTTCTCCTTTAAGGTGTCCATAAGGGTATTAAACACAAAAGCAAGCTGAGACCTGGGCAATTCCTGCATTGCTCATACACACAGTTTTATAAAAGTAAGTACGACACATTGTGCTACAGATGCATAGCTGGAACCCTCCAGACACATGCTGCACCCCCTAAAGTTCATATGCAAATGCAGACTTTTGGAAAAGTCAGTACATGCCTACAAATACATACATACACTACTATTTGCCAGGCCTTCTAATGCTCTATTATTTTGTAATAAATGAATATGCCAGAAGTTATGACAATAAAAATTGCAGCAATACCCAGCGTTTTCTTGGCGCTGCCCCCCTGGAGACTTATGACTCCCTGGTTAGGTGCTGCTCCATTTCCAGGGTGTAATCAGGCCTAGCTTCATCTAACCCACTTCCTGCATGTACAGTGCATTATGGGCCCGCTCCATTGGGGTGCAGCATAATATTGCCCCTGGCTCAGTGTACAAAGCTACTGAAAAAAATGCCAACATCAAAACATCAGCACCGTTGTCTGCTTCAAGAAAAAAGTTGCAGAGGACTGTGTTCTTCGCATGACTGCCCACAAGTCATCTAAAAAAAATGAGGTGCGCATGATAAAACACATGTGTTGGTGTGGATGGGCCCATTTGGTTTCCCTTTCACAATACACCAGCCACATAGGGAAGAATGGGACTTATACTTGAAGTGCATTTACATTAAAGTGACATTAAACCCTCAGATTTTTTAACATAAACCAATACTGTAATGTGTGCCTTACTGTAATCCATGGTAGTTTCCCTTCTCTTTGATGCTCTTCCTTTTAAATCTGTATCTCTTCTCATGCTTGGGGAGAACTTCCCTTTGCAGCTGAGTGCCTCTTCCTGTAGTGCTGGCTCAGGTTTCAAAAGTACACACAGACACCATGTATCCATTCCAGAGACAAGGCAGTCTGCTGCAAAACAGAAGTTCTGCCCAGCATGAGAAGAAATACAGATTTAAAAGGAAGAGCAGCAAAGAGAAGGGAAACAACCATGGATTACAGTAAGGTACACATTACAGTATTGTTTTATGTTAAAAAATCTGAGGGTTTAATGTCACTTTAAGCAAAAACTGCATAAAAATGGATAAGCGTGAATAGGCCTTGAAACATAACCCCCGAGGGGCATGTCAGGACCGTTTGTGCATGTGGCAGTTGCCTAAAAAATAGCTGCTACTTCTGATTGAAATCCTCAGCTACATTGGGGCTCAATGCTCCACCACCCCAATTCTTCACTTAGGCAGTAAAAAATCTGATGGGGGTTCTTTCCTGTCCCCACTCTATCCATCCACAGCTAACAGTGAAGGTTTTGCCTTTACTAGAGATACCTTAAGTGGCAGTTCTTAAAGTGAACCTGTACTGCATTTTAAATACAAACCT